CCACTGATAATGTAGTTACCACACCACTGATAATGTAATTACCACGCCACTGATGATGTAGTTACCACACCACTGATAATGTAGTTACCACGCCACTGATGATGTAGTTACTACGCCACTGATGATGTAGTTACCACGCCACTGATGATGTAGTTACCCCGCCCCTGATGATGTAGTTACCACGCCGCTGATGATGTAGTTACCACGCCACTGATAATGTAGTTACCATGCCACTGATGACGTAGTTACCACGCCACTGATGACGTAGTTACCACGCCACTGATGATGTAGTTACCACGCCACTGATGACGTAGTTACCACGCCACTGATGATGTAGTTACTACGCCACTGATAATGTAGTTACCATGCCACTGCTGACGTAGTTACCACGCCACTGATGACGTAGTTACCACGCCACTGATGATGTAGTTACCACGCCACTGATGACGTAGTTACCACGCCACTGATGACGTAGTTACCACGCCACTGATGACGTAGTTACCACGCCACTGATGATGTAGTTACCACACCACTGATGACGTAGTTACCACGCCACTGATGACGTAGTTACCACGTCACTGATGATGTAGTTACCACGCCACTGATGATGTAGTTACCACGCCACTGATGATGTAGTTACTACGCCACTGATTATGTAGTTACTACGTCACTGATGATGTAGTTACTACACCACTGATGATGTAGTTACTACGTCACTGATGATGTAGTTATTACACCACTGATGATGTAGTTACTACGTCACTGATGATGTAGTTACTACGCCACTGATGATGTAGTTACTACGCCACTGATGATGTAGTTTCCACGCCACTGATGTAGTTACCACGCCACTGATGATGTCATTACCACGTCACTGATTATGAAGTTACCACACCACTGATGATGTAGTTACTATGCCACTGATGATGTAGTTACCACGCCACTGATAATGTAGTTACCACGTCACTGATGATGTAGTTACCGCACCACTGATGATGTAGTTATCCCGCCACTGATAATGTAGTTACCACACCACTGATAATGTAATTACCACGACACTGATAATGTAGTTACCACACCACTGATAATGTAATTACCACGTCAATGATGACGTAGTTACCACGCCACTGATGACGTAGTTATCCCGCCACTGATAATGTAGTTACCACACCACTGATGATGTAGTTACCACGCCACTGATAATGTAGTTACCACACCACTGATAATGTAATTACCACGCCACTGATAATGTAGTTACCACACCACTGATAACGTAATTACCACGTCACTGATGACGTAGTTACCACGCCACTGATAATGTAGTTACCACACCACTGATAATGTAATTACCACGCCACTGATAATGTAGTTACCACACCACTGATAATGTAATTACCACGCCACTGATGACGTAGTTACCACACCGCTGATGATGTAGTTATCACGCCACTGATGATGTCATTACCACGTCACTGATGATGCGGTTACCACACCACTGATGATGTAGTTACCACGTCACTGATGATGTAGTTACCACACCACTGATAATGTAATTACCACGTCACTGATGACGTAGTTACCACGCCACTGATGACGTAGTTATCCCGCCACTGATAATGTAGTTACCACGCCACTGATAATGTAGTTACCACGCCACTGATGATGTAGTTACTACGCCACTGATGATGTAGTTACCACGCCACTGATAATGTAGTTACCACGCCACTGATAATGTAGTTACCACGCCACTGATGATGTAGTTACTACGCCACTGATGATGTAGTTACCACGCCACTGATGATGTAGTTACTCCGCCCCTGATGATGTAGTTACCACGCCGCTGATGATGTAGTTATCACGCCGCTGATGATGTAGTTACCACGCCACTGATAATGTAGTTACCATGCCACTGATGACGTAGTTACCACGCCACTGATGACATAGTTACCACGCCACTGATGACGTAGTTACCACGCCACTGATGACGTAGTTACCACGCCACTGATGATGTAGTTACCACGCCACTGATGATGTAGTTACCACGCCACTGATGATGTAGTTACTACGCCACTGATTATGTAGTTACTACGTCACTGATGATGTAGTTACTACACCACTGATGATGTAGTTACTACGTCACTGATGATGTAGTTACTACACCACTGATGATGTAGTTACTACGCCACTGATGATGTAGTTACTACGCCACTGATGATGTAGTTTCCACGCCACTGATGATGTAGTTACCACGTCACTGATGATGTCATTACCACGTCACTGATTATGAAGTTACCACACCACTGATGATGTAGTTACTATGCCACTGATGATGTAGTTACCACGCCGCTGATGCTGTAGTTACCACGCCGCTGATGATGTAGTTACCACGCCACTGATAATGTAGTTACCACGTCACTGATTATGTAGTTACCACACCACTGATGATGTAGTTACCCCGCCACTGATAATGTAGTTACCACACCACTGACAATGTAATTACCACGCCACTGATAATGTAGTTACCACACCACTGATAATGTAATTACCACGCCACTGATGACGTAGTTACCACGCCGCTGATGATGTAGTTACCACGCCACTAATGATGGCATTACCACGTCACTGATGATGTAGTTACCACACCACTGATAATGTAGTTACCACGCCACTGATAATGTAGTTACCACACCACTGATAATGTAATTACCACGCCACTGATAATGTAGTTACCACACCACTGATAATGTAATTACCACGTCACTGATGACGTAGTTACCACGCCACTGATGACGTAGTTATCCCGCCACTGATAATGTAGTTACCACGCCACTGATGATGTAGTTACCACGCCACTGATGATGTCATTACCACGTCACTGATGATGTAGTTACCACACCACTGATGATGTAGTTACCACGCCACTGATAATGTAGTTACCACACCACTGATAATGTAATTACCACGCCACTGATAATGTAGTTACCACACCACTGATAACGTAATTACCACGTCACTGATGACGTAGTTACCACGCCACTGATGACGTAGTTATCCCGCCACTGATAATGTAGTTACCACGCCACTGATAATGCAGTTACCACGCCACTGATGATGTAGTTACTACGCCACTGATAATGTAGTTACCACGCCACTGATGATGTAGTTACCCCGCCACTGATGATGTAGTTACCACGCCACTGATGATGTAGTTACCCCGCCGCTGATGGTGTAGTTACCACGCCGCTGATGATGTAGTTACCACGCCACTGATGATGTCATTACCATGTCACTGATGATGTAGTTACCACACCACTGATGATGTAGTTACCACGCCACTGATGACGTAGTTACCACGCCACTGATGACGTAGTTATTCCGCCACTGATAATGTAGTTACCACGCCACTGATAATGCAGTTACCACGCCACTGATGATGTAGTTACTACGCCACTGATAATGTAGTTACCACGCCACTGATGATGTAGTTACCCCGCCACTGATGATGTAGTTACCATGCCACTGATGATGTAGTTACCACGCCGCTGATGGTGTAGTTACCACGCCGCTGATGATGTAGTTACCACGCCACTGATAATGTAGTTACCACGCCACTGATGACGTAGTTACCACGCCACTGATGACGTAGTTACCACACCACTGATGATGTAGTTACTACGTCACTGATGATGTTGTTACTACACCACTGATGATGTAGTTACTACGTCACTGATGATGTAGTTACTACACCACTGATGATGTAGTTACTACGCCGCTGATGATGTAGTTACCACGCCGCTGATAATGGAGTTACCACGCCACTGATAATGTAGTTACCACGCCACTGATGACGTAGTTACCACGCCACTGATGACGTAGTTACCACGCCACTGATGATGTAGTTACTACGTCACTGGTGATGTAGTTACTACACCACTGATGATGTAGTTACTACGTCACTGATGATGTAGTTACTACACCATTGATGATGTAGTTACTACGCCGCTGATGATGTAGTTACTACACCACTGATGATGTAGTCACTACGCCGCTGATGATGTAGTTACTACGCCGCTGATGATGTAGTCACTACGCCGCTGATGATGTAGTTACTACACCACTGATGATGTAGTTACTACATCACTGATGATGTAGTTACTACACCACTGATGATGTAGTTACTACGTCACTGATGATGTAGTTACTACGCCGCTGATGATGTAGTTACTACGCCGCTGATGATGTAGTTACTACGCCGCTGATGATGTAGTTACTACACCACTGATGATGTAGTTACTACGTCACTGATGATGTAGTTACTACACCACTGATGATGTAGTTACTACGTCACTGATGATGTAGTTACTACGCCACTGATGATGTAGTTACTACGCCGCTGATGATGTAGTTACTACGCCACTGATGATGTAGTTACCACGCCACTGATGATGTAGTTACTACGCCGCTGATGATGTAGTTACTACGCCGCTGATGATGTAGTTTCTACACCACTGATGATGTAGTTACTACGTCACTGATGATGTAGTTACTACACCACTGATGATGTAGTTACTACGTCACTGATGATGTAGTTACTACGCCACTGATGATGTAGTTACTACGCCGCTGATGATGTAGTTACTACGCCACTGATGATGTAGTTACTACGCCACTGATGATGTAGTTACTACGCCACTGATCATGTAGTTACTACGCCACTGATGATGTAGAGCGGATCTCGTCAACTCCTCCTTGAAAGGAATAAAGACAAAAGCAGCGGAGTGTTGACGAAAACGTTTGTTAAAGTACCATGGGTGATGCTGGGGCGGAGGTGTGATCAGGGGATGGTGGGGGGGGGGTAACCAGTGGACTTCATTGGTGGGGGGGGGTACGTGGAAAGGTGGGGGGCACCGGTTGAGAAGCGCCGACGGAGCGGCGACTTTGTGCTCTCTCCCACGACACCACGTGACCGCCGTCGCTTGCGTCCTGCTGTCGTACGCCAGGTACAACAGCCTGACGGCCCTGGACGAGGGATCGTTCGCCGGCCTGGCGAAGCTGGAAATCCTCATGCTGCACGGCAACGAGATGCGCCTCCTGCCAGACAACGTGTTCGGCCAGCTGCGGGCACTGCAGGTGCGTGCCACGGTGCCCTCTGTGACCCCCGCGAGCACCTCGGTCACTCTACGAGAGCACGGGAGTTTATCTGTTGTTGTTGTTGTTACATTTTTATTTAAAGCTTTCGTGACTGCAGTCATTCATATTCTTGGCTCTTTCGGTAAAGTCACGTTGAAGGGAAACAATAAAGTAATAAAATATATATAAAACAATAAAAATTCTCACGACGTTTCGACCATAGCACAAACGGTCGTCATCAGGTGTGAAAACCCAACGGCAAGAAACGTTTGAAAGAAGTGGCGGTTTGCATGACCGTTTGTGTTATGGTCGAAACGTCGTGAGAATTTGTATTGTTTTATATATATTATTATTTTATTATTTCCCTTCAACGTGACTTTACCGAAAGAGCCAAGAATATGTTGCCGATGTCTCTCAACCAACCCCCCCCCCCCGCCCCCACGGCTCTGCTTTTGTCGACGCTGAAAAAAAATGCGGCTCATTCAACGTGACACACTTGGCTTAGTCACGGGCGGCTGCCCCAGTTTCGAACCCAGCGTCTCGTCGGCGCTGGGCAGCGGCGTTACCACGCGGCCAACCGCTTGACATCGATAAACCCGGCAAGCGCTGCCAGGGGCGGCGTTCACTGCGCGGGCTGACGCCACGGCGGGCCCTCCCGTCGCGCCGTGTGCGCCCTCCGGCCAGGTGCTGAAGCTCAGCTACAACAAGCTGCGCTCGCTGCGGAGGCCGGCGCTGCGGGGCCTGCGCTCGCTCGAGCGGCTGCACCTCGACCGCAACCTCCTGGAGCGCCTCGACCCGGACGCCTTCGCGGGGCTCACGTCGCTGCGGCTCCTCCAGCTGGAGGGCAACCGGCTGCGCTCGCTGCACGCCGACGCGTTCGCCACGGCGTTCGTGGCGCGGGGCGCCGTCGTCTCGACGCTGGCGCACCTCTCGCTCGCCGACAACCGCCTGCGCTCGCTGCCGCCCTCCCTGCTGGCCTCCATGCCGGCCCTGGAGAGCCTCTCGCTGCAGGGAAACCCCTGGGCGTGCGACTGCGCGCTGAGGCCCTTGCGCGAGTGGGCCGCCGAGAGAGCGGCCGGTGAGCGTCGCGCGGTCGGGCCGAGTCGCCGTTGGGATTTATTTTTGGGGGTTCTTTTCGAGACGTCGCGCCGGAGGCTTTTTCGCGTGATCGAGATTATTCGCGGCGGAGGTTTTTTTTGTTTCGTGGTTTGATCGCGCGAAGGTTGGCGAGGTTAGCTAACATCTCGCCACGGGCGGCGAGATGTTAGGTAACCTCGCCGGGTATGCGATTGAGGATCTTTATTTAGACTGCAGGAGTTATTCGATGAGCTGGGCGAATCCGATCACCGTTGCCCCGAGTGGGCCACTGGAATGGAAAATTCCAATCACATCGCAGAGATCGCACGGGGTTGGATGCGTGTTGCATCCAACCCCGTGCGGGCTCAATGCGAATGAGCCGTGTTACAGACGCAGGTGTGACACGGGCTCATTCGCATTGAGCCCGTGTTACACCTGTGTCTGTGTTACACCTGAGCCTGTGTTACACCTGAGTCTGTGTTACACCTGAGTGTGTGTTACACCTCAGTCTGTGTTACACCTGAGTGTGTGTTACATCTGAGTGTGTGTTACACCTGAGTATGTGTTACACCTGAGTCTGTGTTACACCTGAGTCTGTGTTACACCTGAGTCTGTGTTACACCTGAGCCTGTGTTACAACTGTGTCTGTGTTACACCTGAGTCTGTGTTACACCTGAGTCTGTGTTACACCTGAGCCTGTGTCACACCTGTGTCTGTGTTACACCTGAGTCTGTGTTACACCTGTGCCTGTGTTACACCTGAGTCTGTGTTACACCTGAGTGTGTGTTACACCTGAGTCTGTGTTACACCTGAGTGTGTGTTACACCTGTGCCTGTGTTACACCTGAGTCTGTGTTCCACCTGAGTGTGTGTTACACCTGAGTATGTGTTACACCTGAGTCTGTGTTACACCTGAGTCTGTGTTACACCTGAGCCTGTGTCACACCTGTGTCTGTGTTACACCCGAGTCTGTGTTACACCCGAGTCTGTGTTACACCTGAGTGTGTGTTACACCTTAGCCTGTGTTACACCTGTGTCTGTGTTACACCTGTGTCTGTGTTACACCTGAGTCTGTGTTACACCTGAGTCTGTGTTACACCTGAGCCTGTGTTACACCTGCGTCTGTGTTACACCTGAGTCTGTGTTACACCTGAGTCTGTGTTACACCTGTGTCTGTGTTACACCTGAGCCTGTGTTACACATGCGTCTGTGTTACACCCGAGTCTGTGTTACACCTGAGTCTGTGTTACACCCGAGCCTGTGTTACACCAGGGTCTGTGTTACACCTGAGTGTGTGTTACATCTGAGCCTGTGTTACATCTTAGCCCGTGTTACACCTGAGTCTGTGTTACACCTGAGTCTGTGTTACACCCGAGCCTGTGTTACACCTGCGTCTGTGTTACACCTGAGTCTGTGTTACACCTGAGTCTGTGTTACACCTGAGCCTGTGTTACACCTGTGTCTGTGTAACACCTGAGCCTGTGTTACACCTGAGTCTGTGTTACACCTGAGCCTGTGTTACACCTGAGTCTGTGTTACACCTGAGCCTGTGTTACACCTGAGTCTGTGTTACACCTGAGTGTGTGTTACACCTGAGTGTGTGTTACACCTGTGCCTGTGTTACACCTGAGTCTGTGTTACACCTGAGTGTGTGTTACACCTGAGTATGTGTTACACCTGAGCCTGTGTTACACCTGAGTCTGTGTTACACCTGAGTCTGTGTTACACCTGAGTCTGTGTTACACCTGAGCCTGTGTTACAACTGTGTCTGTGTTACACCTGAGTCTGTGTTCCACCTGAGTGTGTGTTACACCTGAGTATGTGTTACACCTGAGTCTGTGTTACACCTGAGTCTGTGTTACACCTGAGCCTGTGTCACACCTGTGTCTGTGTTACACCCGAGTCTGTGTTACACCCGAGTCTGTGTTACACCTGAGTGTGTGTTACACCTTAGCCTGTGTTACACCTGTGTCTGTGTTACACCTGTGTCTGTGTTACACCTGAGTCTGTGTTACACCTGAGTCTGTGTTACACCTGAGCCTGTGTTACACCTGCGTCTGTGTTACACCTGAGTCTGTGTTACACCTGTGTCTGTGTTACACCTGAGCCTGTGTTACACATGCGTCTGTGTTACACCCGAGTCTGTGTTACACCTGAGTCTGTGTTACACGTGAGCCTGTGTTACACCTGAGTCTGTGTTACACCCGAGCCTGTGTTACACCAGGGTCTGTGTTACACCTGAGTGTGTGTTACATCTGAGCCTGTGTTACATCTTAGCCCGTGTTACACCTGAGTCTGTGTTACACCTGAGTCTGTGTTACACCCGAGCCTGTGTTACACCTACGTCTGTGTTACACCTGAGTCTGTGTTACACCTGAGTCTGTGTTACACCTGAGCCTGTGTTACACCTGTGTCTGTGTAACACCTGAGCCTGTGTTACACCTGAGTCTGTGTTACACCTGAGCCTGTGTTACACCTGAGTCTGTGTTACACCTGAGCCTGTGTTACACCTGAGTCTGTGTTACACCTGAGTGTGTGTTACACCTGAGTGTGTTACACCTGAGTCTATGTTACACCTGTGTCTGTGTTACACCTGAGCCTGTGTTACACCTGAGCCTGTGTTACACCTGTGTCTGTGTTACACCCGAGCCTGTGTTACACCAGGGTCTGTGTTACACCTGAGTGTGTGTTACATCTGAGCCTGTGCTACATCTGAGCCCGTGTTACACCTGAGTCTGTGTTACACCTGAGTCTGTGTTACACCCGAGCCTGTGTTACACCTGAGTGTGTGTTACACCTGTGTCTGTGTTACACCTGAGTCTGTGTTACACTTGCGTCTGTGTTACACCTGAGCCTGTGTTACACCTGAGTCTGTGTTACACCCGAGCCTGTGTTACACCAGAGTCTGTGTTACACCTGCGTCTGTGTTACACCTGAGTCTGTGTTACACCTGCGCCTGTGTTACACCTGAGCCTGTGTTACACCTGAGTCTGTGTTACACCTGAGCCTGTGTTACACCTGAGCCTGTGTTACACCCGAGCCTGTGTTACACCTCAGTCTGTGTTACACCTGAGCCTGTGTTACACCTGAGTGTGTGTTACACCTGAGTCTGTGTTACACCTGAGCCCATGTTACACCTGAGTCTGTGTTACACCTGAGCCTGTGTTACACCTGTGTCTGTGTTACACCTGAGTCTGTGTTCGACCTGAGTCTGTGCTACACCTGAGTCTGTGTTACACCTGAGTCTATGTTGCACCTGTGTCTGTGTTACACCTGAGCCTGTGTTACACCTGAGCCTGTATTACACCTGAGTGTGTGTTACACCTGAGTGTGTGTTACACCTGAGTGTGTGTTACACCCGAGTCTGTGTTACACCTGAGTCTGTGTTACACCTGAGTGTGTGTTACACCTGAGTCTGTGTTACACTTGCTTGCTGGACTGCATTTGTAACCCATGTCTCCCTTTAACAATTACGCTCTTTGGTTGAAAAATCTCTCGCCTGCTTTTAAATGAAGGTGATCATCTTCATCTCATTTTGGAGAAGGCACAAGTCACACGACTGGCTCAAGGCCAACCAATAGAGAAGAGCTCTATGCACCATTCATTAATACAGAGGCACAATTTTTTACGTGTGAGCACATTTTTTTCATTTTAATGCGTGTGCATGCCTACTGGCCCTTTTTAGCCTCAACGGTCCCTGCCATGGTGTGACGGTCAGCACGCCGTGACCGGCAATGCAGAGGTCACCGCTTCGATTCGATCTCCCGGCGCGACGGATGAAACAACGGGGCTAGTTTCATCAATCCACGCCGTCGCCTCGGCAGTGTCTTTGGGTACAACCGCAGGTCGCGTGTGGTGGGGTAAAGCATGGGTACTCCCATCTCTTCCAAGACATCTCGCCAGTGCGGACGAGTAGGCCAAACACCCGCTAGATGGGGGCTCTCTCGAGCCCTTCGGCCAGCAGTGGCGCAAGCGAGCAGCTCAGCGGCGCCTTCACCCGTTACCTCTCCGTGTGCGTCTCCCCTCGCGCCGCAGACGTTCTCAAGTGCGCGGTGGTGGACGCAGGGAGGCGAGACGGAGACTCGCGGTGTCCACGCTGCGCGAGCCCCGCACGCTACAGGGGGCGCCACCTGCTCTCCGTCCCCGCGCGGCGGCTCGCCTGCGCCGCGCCGTCCGTCGCCGCTCCCGGGACGTCGAGGAAACCCGACGGCGACGGCGCCGGCGAGCTCCCCCTGCGGCACCTCCTGCGGGCGCGCGCCTCGTGGGCCGCGCTCGGCCTCAACCTGACGGCCGCGCCGGGGCGGGCTGCGACGCTGCGGTGCCGCGTGGGCGAACCGCGCGCCGCAGCGCCGGTCGCCGTGCGGCGGCTGGATGACGGGACGGTGCTCGTGGACGGCGCATTCGAGACGCGCCTGGCGTGCGACGTGAGCCTCGGAGACGGCCGGCGGCAGCTGGAGGAGGCGGCGGCGAGGGCGGGCGGCGATTCGGTGGGGGGAGGTGGCCCCCGGCGGCGCGAGCTCCGCTTGACGAGGCTGCCCGAGGTTCACGGCGAGGCGAGCGCGAGCCTCTACGCCGTCGTGACGGAGCGGGGGGAGCCACCGAGCGACGGCGCGGCACTCGTGGCGAGCATTTCCACGGAGGCCGACTGGCTCCTGCAGCCGACGATCGGCGTCTCGCTGAGCGGCGGCGTCGGCCCCCCCGGCGCCGAAGATGGCCTGTACCTGACGCTCACCACGGTGATGTCGGGGTACCGGGGAGCCGGGGACCATGGCACGTCCGAGTGGGTGCTCGTCCGTGGCGGCGGCGGCGACGGGGACATTGACGCACGGCTCAACCAGGCGGTGGTGGAGGGGGCGCCCGTCCAGATGCTGTGCGGCATCGATGCCGCCCCGGGGGCGCCGGCCGCGCTCCACTGGACCCTCGCCGATGGCACGCGGGTCAGGGAGCCCTACGAGAGCGCCGACAACCGTGTGACAGCGGCCCGCGGAGGGCAGCTGCTGATCAAGTCGGCGCAGGTGGCAGACTCGGGTGCGTACGCGTGCGTTGCTTCGACGAGAGACGACGCGGATGCGATGGAGTTCAGGCTCGAGGTGCTGCCAGCAATCGCAAAGGCGGCGGTGGACGAGGATTTGTCGGTGCTGGTTGGCGGAGACCTGGGGGTCCCCTGCAGGGCGCTCGGCTCGCCGGACCCATCAGTGGTCTGGGTCTTCCCCGACGGCTCGGTCTCCGAGGACCTGCCTTCGCACGGGGTACGTTCGGCCATCGTAAATGGCACGCTGAACATAAAGGGCATCGGCGCTGGGGACGGCGGCCTCTACAGGTGTGTGGCCATGAATCGGCTCGGAGCCAAGGTCCTGTCCATAAACGTCACCATCGCGTCGCCAGACGCCAACGGTGGCGATGCGAGTGGGGGGTGGAGGCCGAGCTCCCAGCCGTACAATGAGAATTCGTATTTCCCCTCGGGAAACGACGGACTGCCCCAAGTGGACCTTTACAATGCCACGCGAAATGATTCCTCCTTGACGCTTCCTCCAAGCGCGAAGCAGCACGGGAACAGCATGGCGGGCGAGGCCAAAGTGATGGAGAAGGATGAGAAGCAGGAGGAAGATGAGGAGGAGGAGGAGGAGGAGGAGGAGGAGGAGGAGGAGGAGGAGGAGGAGGACGACGACGACGACGACGACGACGACGACGAAGAGGATGAGGAGAGCGGGCGTGCTCTGAAGAGTAGGCCACGCGGGAGAGGGCCCGCCGGACCCGCGGGGCCACGCCGGATCGACAACGTGTCGGTGAAGGAGCGCGACCCTCAGCGGTGGGCCCAAGTGCTGGAGGAGGTGAGGCGGCGGCACAGAGAGTGGAGGCGCCGGGGGGGCCACAACGACAGCCTCGCCATCGCGGCGGCCACGACTCCGGCCGGACGCGACCTCGCCCCTTCGCCTGGGGCATCGGCTGCTGGCGAGACCGAGACGAGCGCTGAAGGGAGTGTCGCGAGCCGCGGGGTCACCGCGGGGTATTCTGGTGGGCGTGATCTGGAGTGGGCGAGCACATTTTCCGGCGGGTTGGTGGAGCTCTCCGACGACCACTCCGCCGTCGTGGAAACGGTCTCCTATGACGAGCGCGTGACGCCAGCGTACGAGGCCGCGTACACCGAGGCGTACACGCTCGGCGCCCGGGCGGCCGTTCACACGAGCACGGCAGATGCCGACTACGGAGTTTCGGAAACGATTCTGAGCCCTTTCCCCACCACGTCGGCGACAACCGAGAAATCGGACGTCGCCTTGACTCAACGGACTTCGGCGGTGGGGGACCACGCGGGGGCGCTTCCCGCGAACGTGGACCCAGAGCACTCCGCCTGGGGTCCCGACAACTCCTTCACGAGGCTGCCATCACGCCCGCGGGTGCAGGAGCACACAACAGAAGCGCAGCGTTCGTGGCACCGGATATCCAGCACGACGACCGTGCCCAGCGCTCTCCTCCCCGCGAGTCCTCCGCGAAGCCCGTTCAGCGGGGAGCCGTACGGACGCTGGCACGAGAAGCTGCAGTGGGCCTCAGCCGTGGGCACTCCGGCCGCAGGCCTCTTGCCTTTCCTCCAGCCCGAGGCGCTCCTTCCGGTCACGTGGGGGAAATTCCACACCACGGACGGGGACCCGACGGTGCGAGCGGCCGTCTCCGCCACCACCGACCCGGAGCTGGAGTCGCAGGTTCAAACGCCGACGGGGCCCGCGCAGGGGTCGTCGTCAACGTCGTCCTCGGAGGACTCCGAGCGACCCCGCGGCATGATGAGGCATCCCTCGGGCATGACGGACCAGAGGGAAGGGGCCACGTCCACATTGAGAGCAGCGCGGGCACAATCGCGCTCGGCTACGGGATCCGACCCGGCGGCCGGTTCGCCTCCGTCTCTTTGGCAGAACACGTTCATCGGACCGCCGGTGACGGAGGGATATGAAGCGCCGCTTCCCTGGGATGGGTTGCAACGTCCCGCCGTGTCCGACACGAGGTTGGTCCCAAAGGGCGCCCACTCGACCGAGACACGGCCGCTGCCCACGGCTCCGACCACACGCAACGTCAAGAGAGCGTTTACCAACAGGGCGGCGGCGATGACGGCCCCAACGACGGTGCTGCAAACAGATCACGCTCACGACCGACAGGGGGAAGCTTCGGCGGAATCTGCCGAGGGGCCTCCACCAAAAGACCGGCACAACCACGGCGACGAGAAGACCACGTGGAGGGAAGAGAGCGGCTCGGATTCGTCCAACGCCGTGCGGCCACACGGCAACGCCGACGAGGATAGCCTGCGTGGTGCGCCGGTGATCGTGGACAAGGCGAGCACGATGATCGCAATCGTGGCCGACTCGGACGTCGCAATACATTGCCCTGCGATTGGCAATCCTCTACCAACCATCAGCTGGACGAAAGTGGCCACAGGTGAAATTTTGCAGAATTAACGTGGTTGTTTTGTTGTACGGACAGCCAATCATTTCCATAAACTAATCAATTTTACCAGGTAAGGCCCACTGAGCCATATCGGTCTGTTTCAAAAGTGACCTGGCTATCACAAATTATAGCTCAGCAAATTGGCTTATCACGTGTAAATTTATAGCAGTCAAATACAATAAATGCATCAACTGCTGTGCCAGGAGATCGAGTAGATCTGGAGACCTCTGGTTGGAAAGTCCAGTGTGCTATCCATCACAACACGGCAGCATCCCTTGTTTAGTGCATCCGATAAGCACGTTGCAAAAAAAGACACTCGTCCAGTGCTAATGAACAGCTGCGGCTTTGGTTTTCTCAGGCGCCACCATCAGGGCTGGCTCCAGACTGGGAAGCCGGTTCGAGGTGCTGCCCAACGGCACTTTCCTCGTCCGCAGTGGCCACCTGCAGGACCGCGGGCAGTACCTGTGCACGGCCGCCAATGACCAGGGCTCCGACCACTACACCGTGACTCTCACGGTCCTCGCCTACCGGCCGCGGGTGCGCCAGCCGCGCTTCCAGAACCTCACGGCACACCAGGGCGAGCCGGTGGAGCTGCGCTGCCCAGCCGAGGGGCGGCCCAGGCCGCAGGTGTCGTGGCTGCTGCCCGACCGCTCGTTCCTGCGTACGGCCAGCCTGGGTGAGGGCCGCGTGACGCTGGCGCCCGACGGGACTCTGCACATCCGGCGGGTGGCGGCGTCCGACCGCGGCAGCTACAAGTGCATCGCGAGCAACCCCGCCGGGACGGACACAGTCGGCTTTCGGCTCGACGTGATCTCCGTGCCACCCGAGATCGCGCAGCGAAAGACGGAGGATCTCCCTGGCATCGCGGGTCAGAGCCTCGTGATCCACTGCAGCGCCGGCGGCTTTCCAACACCGAGCGTCCGCTGGTTGCTGTCCGACGGGTCGGTTGTTAGGCCGTCGCAGTTTCTCAAGGGCAAGCTGTTCGTCTTCCCCAACGGCACACTCCACATCGCCCGGCTGGCGACGGCCGACAGCGGCAGCTATGAGTGTGTTGCGACCAACGCCATGGGCGTGGACAGGAGGGTGGTCAGCCTCAGCGTGAGCAGCCCGCTCTCGCCGGCCAAGATCGCCCGCAACAAGCAGCGGGCCACGGTGGACGTGCGGTACGGCGAGGTCGCGCTCCTGAACTGCGTGTCCTCCGGCGACCCCCAGCCGAAAGTCATTTGGAGGCTGCCCTCCAAGATCGTGATCGATACGCTGTACAGGTGAACAAAGAGATTAATGCTGCCATTCACGTTCCGAGACTGGTACATGCGTGAGCCTATTTGTCTCTGTGTGAGTCTGTGGGTCTCTGTGTGAATCTATGGGTCTCTGTGTGAGTCTATTGGTCACAGTGTGAGTCTCTGTATGTATGTTGAAATTATTTCGCACCATACGTAGCCAACCGGAGGTGCGGGGGAAGAACAACAAACGAAACAAAGCAGTTCTAAAGAAGTGACTTTTCAATTTAGTGTGCGAGTCCAAATGTTTGCATAAGCCCAGCCTCCACGCAGTACTGTGCATAACAGTTACCATTCGTTGACTGAAGCCAATTGTCAACCAGGAATGGACCCAGTTCATTACTTTCTGCCGATCCATACCTCCGCTGGTTAGGTCGTAAAACAATATTGTGTTACTATTTCTAGCATCTAAATCGGTGGGTTCTCAACCTTTTTGGTATGGTGACTCCTAAATCAACTTAAACCTCATCTCAATTAGCCTCGACAAAAGTGAAGAGCTGCATTGGGGTAGAAGGAGGGTAGAGGAACGTGCTAGAGCAGGAAAGGCAAAGGTGTCCGGAAAACTCAAGAGGTCAGAGCGCTGAGTTTGCACCGCTGAGATCTTGAGCTGGTATCCTGGAAGCTGCCCGAGTGTAAACTGGGTTCTGAATTGCAGTGAGCTGACGGTCTCAGTCTCATCACCAGTGACTGCACGAAAAGAAAAACATGTCTCGGACCGCATTCGTGAACACAAAGCAGACCTGAAACACGGTAGGACCAACACCTCGGCCGTGGCAGATCACTGTTATAATTCAGTAGGTTCACATGACATTGACTTCTCCAAGACAGAGGTTCTTTGCAAGCCATCTGGCTACCATGAGAGATTCGTTCATGAGGCTATCCACATATACAAACACAGAGACAATTTCAACCGAGAAGATGGATTCTGGCTTTGCAATCATTGGAATGATTTGATAAACCATTTCGGGTCTTAATTGATTGATCACGCTTAAGGTGGCTTTCAGACCACATCCATTATTTTTCGTCTCCCCCCTCCTCTTTTCCAAACATAGATGGACTCGTCCATCTGAACAAACTGTCAAATCGCTCCCGGTGATGCTAACGTAAAAAAACGCCACTTTTTTCAAATTTTCTTGTTGTGGTTTTCACATCTGATGATGATTGCTTGTGTTGCAGTCGAAACGTCGTGAGAATTTTATCGTTTTAAATTTTTATTATTATTTTATTGTTTCCCTTCTACGTGACTTTACCAAAAGAACCAAGAATATGAAAAGAAAAACGTGACGGTAAACTTGCTTTTCCTCTTAACCCTCTCCCCATTCTGATGACGTGCGCGTGTACATCATCGGTTTTTCTTCCGGTTCCGTTGCAATCACGTACAAGTACTTTGTCGGTACCGAGGCACCCACAAGGCCATGCGGGATGCACGGGTTTTCCCTTTCACTGCAGAAGCAGGGCCGTGCCGCCTGATGTCACGCGCATTGTGCACGTCGTTGGCCCCATCGGTAGCATGGCTTGGACTCGAGTCAGATGTCGTGTGGGGTCGGCACCTCAGAAATATTGCTCGACTGCGAAGCATGGTTTGCCGCCAGCTATCGTGGAGTGGCGGTGATCGTGTCACCGCGGTTCTCTGCGGCGAGTAACGACGTCTTTTAAAAACAACGGCGCTACGCCTCTCTAAATGAAAGTAACGTCCAGCCGCTTGCGCGATCCGAGATTCAGCGGTGAACAGGAACCCCCACACCCTGCTACTTGCAGGTGTCTCAGAACGGGAAAGAGTTAATTTAGCCAAATTCAAGCTCTGAGAATGAAAATATCAGTTTGACCGTCACGTGACAAACACCTGTTTTAAATGCGGAATTTGGTGAAAGTGATTTCAGAGGTAGCTCTGTATTTATAGCCTTCCGTGAGCTGCCCTCTGCAACGAAGGGCTGCAACCGCTCTGCGATGAGAGTTGTGAATGAGTTCTTCGTCTGATGACAATGACGCACAATCAGGACGACATTGGGGAAGCGGCATACGCCAGTGGGCACCCGTTTCAGACAAAGAAAAACAAACCAGAATCACGCGCCACCCAATCGCGCGCTTTCAGATGCACTTCTGCGGCCATCTGGAATGCTCTTCCTTCCGATATTAGGAGACCACTGGGAGCTATGCACTTTTAAATCATCTAGATTTTCTTTAGAACTGACTTTTGTGTTGAGTTTCTTGTCCTTCCCCCGCACCTCCGATTCGCACGGTTGGCTACGTACGGTTGGCTACGTACGGTGAGAAAGAAGTTCAACATACTTTTGAATATTAACCGACGTGGTGGTGATTTATTTAATTCCCCCCCCCCCCCCCATCGTGCACTTGCAGCCCCGACAACCGAGTCTCGGTGCACGAGAACGGCTCGCTGAGCGTGGGCACGGTGATCGAGGGCGACGCGGGCGACTACCTGTGCGTGGCGCGCAACAGCCTTGGCTACGACATGCAGGGGGTCACAATGAACGTGACCCTGGAGGCGGCGAGGATTGACAAGCGCGCGGCGGGCGCGAGCGGGACGGACGTTGTCGTCAGCGCCGGCGGCACGGCGTGGCTCGACTGCGTCGCCTCGGGCCTTCCGCGGCCCGGCGTCTCGTGGAGCCTGCCCGACGGTACGACGGCGAGCAGCCCCGTGCCGGCGGGCGGCGACGACGGTGGCAATGGCGAGCGGAAGGACGGCGGGCGGCGCGCTGTCCTCGGGAACGGCACGCTGCTCGTGCGGAACGCGGCACGGGAGGACGAGGGCGACTACACGTGCGTGGCGCGCAACGCGGCCGGAGGCGACGAGGCGACGGTGCGCCTGAGCGTGCCGCCGAGGGCGAGGCCGCCCAAGATCGAGGGCCACGCCAAGAAGGCCGCCGCCGCGCCCCTGCAGGTCCGGGGCGGCGATGCAGCCCGGCTCGGCTGCGACGCTGCCGGCGAGCCGAAGCCGAGCGTCGCGTGGGTGCTGCCATCCAAGCGGGCGCCGCTCACGTCCGCGGACGGGCCGCGCGTCCAGAGGGACGGCTCGCTGATCATCGAGCGCGTCGGGAAGGCCGACGCCGGGGTCTACACCTGCATCGCCCGCAACGCGCTCGGGGAAGACTCGAAGGCAATCAGCCTCGAGGTGGTGCTCGTCAAGCCCGTCATAAACGGGAACCAGGACAGGCACGCGGTCGCCAGCGACTCGGCCGTCAAGTTCTCGCGCAAGCGGATCAACTGCAGGGCGGACGGCGTGCCCCAGCCGCGGGTGGCATGGGTCATGCCCGGCAACGTCGTCCTGACGACGCCCTACGAGGGCAGCCGGATATCCGTGCTCGAGAACGGTACTCTGGAAATCAAAAACGTGCGGCGCTCGGACACCGGGGAGTTCCTGTGCGTCGCTCGCAGCGAAGCCGGAGAGGCGACGCTGCGCGTGAAGCTGGCCGTGACAGACACGTTGGAAAAGCCGGTTTTAAAGAACCCAAAAAACGAGAAAATCATCACCAAAGAAGGCAGGGCGATCACGCTGAATTGCTCGGCAACCGGTGTGCCGACGCCAGAAACGACTTGGCTGTTCCCGAATGGAACCCTCATCGCCAAGTGGCAAAAGGTGGAAAACTTCCGGCACGGCAAGGACGGCGCCCTGGTGATCCTCCGTCCCGCCCAGCGGGACGCCGGCACCTACCGATGCACGGCCAAGAATGCCGCGGGCTTCGTGGAGAAAGCCGTGACGCTGGAGGTCGGACAGAAGCCCATGATCGCGCTCCGCCACAGGGGCCTGGTGCGCAGCACCAGCGGTGAGCCGCTCTTCCTGCACTGCGTCGTCAGCGGGAACCCGAAGCCCACAGTCCGCTGGGTGCTGCCCAACGGCGCGAGCGTCGACGGCACGTCCCGCGCCTCCGCCTCCGCCGCCGCCGGCGGCCGCGCGGCGCTGCTGGCCAATGGCACGCTGGCGCTGAGCGCGGCGACCCCGCGCGACCGCGGCACGTACGTGTGCCACGCGGAGAACGCGGCCGGGCACGCGTCGGCGGCCGTGCCCGTCGTCGTGGTGGCGTACCCGCCGCGAATCACGCGGGGCCCGCCCAGGACCGTGCTGGCGCGGCGCGGCGCCAGCCTGCGGCTGCGATGCGCCACCATCGGCGTGCCCAAGGCCGACGTGGCGTGGGAGCTGCCGAGCGGCGCCAGGCTGTCGACGGCGAGCGCGGGAGCGCACGCGGGCGGCGGCGCCTACTTGCACCCCGCAGGGACGCTGTACGTTCAGACGTCCGGGTACGAGCACTCGGGCTTCTACAAGTGCGTCGCCAGCAACACGCTGGGGAGCGACGTGGTGTCCACCTACGTGCGGTTTTATTGATGGGTCAGTTTTGTTTGTTAGTTTTTTTTTGCGAGTGGGGGGGGTGGGGGAGGGGAATTGTCGAGCAATTGGCCTAAAGTGGCTTTTGCTTTCAAGGTTGACACGTGCGGCCACCGCAGAAGCGCTTTGAAAGTGTTTTGCGACATCCCCCATCGCAGTAGCCATTGCGCATTGGTCTCTGTTGAACTGCACCAGCTGAGCATCGTACGGCAGATGCTGTGCCTGTATCCCGCACCGACGGACTGTTCAGAATTGCCCAGGGAACGACTTGTGGGCGGCAATCTCAAAATCGAGGAGCAGACAGTAAAGCCACTGGCTGCGTCGATCATTCGCCTACAGATGTTCGGATATTCGCCGGGTGTGTGCGTGTGAACCTATGGATGTCTCGGTGAGTCTATGGGTATCTATGTCAGTACAGTTTGTACGTTGAACTTCTTTCGCACCGTACCACCGACAAGTCAATAGTGTTAATCGGAGGTGCAGCGGAAGGACGACAACCTAAACGCAAAAAGTAGTTCTTCAGAAATTAGTTTTCAATCTGGATTGAAAAGCGCACATAGCTCCAGTGGCTTCCTCACATCGGAGGCAAGAGCCTTCCAGACGGCCACAGAGGCGCATCTGAAGGCGCGCGATGCGGTGACCACCGTCTTTGTTCGATGGCTGAGCTAAAATCCGCCGCTGCTGCGAGGATGAGCGGAGTTCGCGCGATGATGGTTCATGCTCCTTGACGCCGGGTCTCCATCGGAATATATCGTTCGCCGACATCCGTGTGTCAAATCGTCACCACGTGGCTTCTCCTGAACGACGTCCACTGGCTCACTCGGCAACCTCGACATGAGCACACGAACATTGGATGATCAACTGCCCGCAAACGAAAGTCTACGAAGATTAAAATATGCAAACCAGAATGTGGCAAAGACTGAAAAGTAGCATTATAAATCAATAGATATGGAAAAGTTATCTTTATTTTATCGCTAATTATAACCAAATTAGATTTTTATACGTACTATTTTGAAAGCATTTAGTGTTTTGGTTTATTTTACAACTACCTCTGCTGACAATGTTACCACAACTCTATGCAAAATGAATGGCGACCCATTTATAGATATCCCGCGAAATACACGCACACTTCATTCAATATTTCAACGCTCTCCTCCGTAAGATATGGATCCGTCGCTTTCACAGCATTCAAACCGCTGTTGAAAAGAATTGAGATGCCCATTTTCAATCAGTGGGGAATCTACATATAGATCACCCTGTGCTAAAGCGCCTCCTTAGAAACACGTGGATTACAGTGCACTGTGATCTCAATTATGACATTTTTTTGTAATCTTCATCATCAGCATTGACTTCATTAACCTCTCCTCTTCACCCGTCACAGATCGTACCACCTGGTTCACCCCCTGATACCCCTTTCCCACTCGCACATCCGGTCCGTGCCAGCACGTGGCCGGCACACGGCACACACGTGTGCCCCACGGTGGCTAGGAGACGTTAACTCCCTCGTCTTGTGTGCAGGAGGTTCGTGGGTTCGATCCCGACCCTGACGCCTGCTTATATTTGGAGCTTGCGTGTGTGTCTCTCTCTCTCTCTCCCCGTTGTCGCGTGGATTTTTTTGTCCGGGTTCTACAATTTTTCCCTCCACATGTTGGAATCAACGTCACGCGTTCAGGGTATTTGGCTGCTCCGAGTTTTCCCCCATGCTAAGCCACTGTCGATCGGTTCGCTTCTGACAAAAGAACTAATGCAGCTCAGTGGGGCCTTACCTGGTACAATGAAAAACAGTTTAATAGTTTCACCAAGGCTCCCCATGGTAAAAATGCCGAGGTTTTTTTTTTTTCCCCCCTGGCAATTTTACCATGGCGAGCTGGAAGCGAAACCACGATTTCCCGGCCCCACAAGACGTCTGAGTCGGACTCGAGGTCAAGCCGCGCTAGCCACGGAGCCAACGACGTGCGCAATGCGTGTGACGTCGGGCGGTTACAACTCCGAAACGTCGGTGTTACCGCGTCATCGCGTGCGACGTCAGCGCTCACGGCACGGCCCCGGCTTGTGCAGTGGAAACAAACCAAACCCCCCCCCCCCCACCGGTGCATCCTGACGGGCGCTTCGCATGGCCCCAGCACAGTTCGGATGTGTACGTGGAAATGAAAAGAGGTATCGGAGGCCAAGCGGAAGGCATTATTTCACTACTGCTGCCGCGTAGGTTTATGGCGGTCGTGCCGTGTGGCTCTCTGGGATGTACCGCACGTTCGTCAGCACGGTGTCCGACGTTTCGCTCCCATGCGCCAGTTAGAACCTTGAAGGACATTCGCGATAAAAAAAAAATCATTTATTTTGTTGTTGTTGTTTTCTGCATCTGCCGTTGTGTTTGCCGCAGCATCCCAGGTACCTCTTGAAATGTGTAGCCTCAATTGACTCGTACATGGTTATGAGTAAAAAAAGGCATTGCAGAAGGACCCCTCTTAATGACCACCCCTGTTAACGATTAATCGCTTAACAATGGGCCTCCATAGAGCCCAATGTGTAGTATATAGTCGTGTAGTGTTTAGTAGTGTAGTGTATAGTAGTGTAGTATATAGTCGTGTAGTGTATAGTAGTGTAGTGTATAGTAGTGTAGTATAGAGTAGTGTAGTGTATAATAGTGTAGTGTATAGTAGTGTAGTCTATAGTGTAGTGTATAGCAGTGTATAGTGTAGTGTAGTGCCTCCATAGAGCCCAATGTGTAGTGCATACTAGAGTAGTGTATAGTGTAGTGTATACTAGAGTAGTGTATAATGTAGTGTATAGTAGAGTAGTGTGTAGTAGTGAAGTGTATAGTGTATACTAGAGTAGTGTGTAGTAGTGTAGTGTATAGTGTAGTGTATAATGTAGTGTATAATGTAGTGTATAGTGTAGTGTATAATGTAGTGTATAGTGTAGTGTATGCTAGAGTAGTGTGTAGTAGTGTAGTGTATAATGTAGTGTATAGTGTAGTGTATAATGTAGTGTATAGTGTAGTGTATAGTGTAGTGTACTGTATAATAGTATAGTGTAGTGTATAGTGTAGTGTATACTAGAGTAGTGTGTAGTAGTGTAGTGTATAGTGTAGTGTATAGTGTAGTGTATAGTGTAGTGTATAGTGTAGTGTATAATGTAGTGTATACTAGAGTAGTGTGTAGTAGTGTAGTGTATAATGTAGTGTATAATGTAGTGTATAGTGTAGTGTATAGTGTAGTGTATAATGTAGTCTATAGTGTAGTGTATAATGTAGTGTTTAGTGGTGTAGTGCCTGCACAGGGCCCAGTGTGTTCGCTTACCGACTATTCCCCTGTTAACGACAGGCTGTTGTAGGTACAGTAAATATTAATGAATGCATTGATTAACCATGTTTCTTTTGATGTTATTTTTATAATGTTGTAAGTATATTTATGTATTCATATCCATTGTTTAAATATTATAAAGTACTTTTGGGGGGGGGGGGAGGTAACTTTTGATGCTACCGTGTATTTCCTAGACTCGCTTAATGACCAAATCACTTGACGACCGGTTCCGTGGAACCAATGACCGTCGTTAAGAGGGGTTATCTCGTACTTGCTGTGATTATTATGACACTCCTTGGTTCTTTCGGTAAAGTCACGTGAAGAAAAAACTACTGAAGTAGGCCTACTTCAGCAGTTTTTTTTTTCTTGCTGTGGCTGTCCCACCTGATGACGATTGCTTGTGTTGCGATCGAAACGTCACGTGATCTGTTGTTTTTTCTACCAAGGTGACTTTACCGAAGGAACCAAAGGGTGTGGATTCCTGCAGTCGCCAAAGCTTCAAATCAAGATTGATTATTATAATATTTTAGCTTGTAACATGTTGCGCAATATTCGTCCACTCTCGAATGATTCAGAGAAATGATTCAGAGGCGCGGGGCACCACAGGCAAGGAAGTCACACGGTGAGCCAGCGCCAACGATTTCACCAAGCTACGTGTTCCTCTATATTTAAAGGTGGTATCGGTCAACTAATGAGTGTTTATATGAGGGAGTAAACTATTTGTTTGTATTTTGCCAGGTAAGGCCCGCTGAGTTATATGGCTTTTTTTCTCGAAAGCAACCTGGCTATCACAAATGAAAGCTCAACGAAGTGGCTCATCATGTGGAAATGTACGGCAGGCAAATACTCCAAACGCGAGTTTCTAAACGCGGGGTGAAAAACCGGAGAAAAATCGACGCGACCACGGGGAGAGAGACACGCAAACTCCAAATATACAACAGGTGTCAGGGTTCCGGATCGAACCAACGAACTCCTGCATACCAGGCGAGGAAGTGAACGTCCCACCACCGTGGCGCCCAGAGGCAACCCGCGCATGCGAGGGAGAAACACTGTATCCCATACTGACGGAACAGGTGGAGTCCAAATTTAGACTTAAAACTTTCGTGACTGCAGCAATTCATGTTCTTGGTTCTTTCGGCAAAGTCACGTAGATAGAAAGTAAATTAAATAATAGAATACGACGTTTCGATTGCAACACAAGCAGTCTTCATCAGGTGGAGAGAAAAGAGGGGGCAAGCCTCCAAAGAAGAATAAAAAGGACCGCTTTTGTTGCGATCGAAACGTCGTGGGTTTTTTTTTTTGCTTTCAACTTAGATTTTTGTCTTCTATCTACGTGACGTTACCGAAAGAACCAAGAATAATGTGGAGTCCACGTTTCCGCCGTACGGCCTTCTCCTGGTGAGCACAGGGTATATCTCCTCCTCAATATCCACGGGTTTACACCATCTGTGCGGTGATCCACCTACCATCACCTCGAGTGCTGGGTTACAGGCGTGCACGAACCACCACCGCCTAATCAGTTCTTCGGACGGATTTATTGCTTTGGTTTTGCTCGTTAAATGTGTATGCATGCCTCGCCCGAGCCTCTCTTAGATTCTCAGAGAACCTTTAAGAAACCTTCGTACGAGAAGCAGAACGTTATGAGATAAGCCGTGTTGACGTTAACTGAAATAAAACGTATCGATTGTATCGTAACCTGGCAGCGTATTTACTGTTGTAATTAGATCGTGATGTGCAGCTCCCTGTCAATCCACTGCTGGATGAAGGCCTCCCCGTGACAATATCAATCTTGGAGTTTGTTCGACCGTTCTTCACAACGCTGGGTAAGTGCGGGTAGGGGTTCTTACTAATCACAAATTCAATTGTTAATTAGCGTTACAAGACTACCTCGTGCTAATGATTTATTGAATAACTAAAATGGTTATAGCTCGAGCCCCTCCACCAACTGTGAGATATTATTTAGAGGCGGGGTGTAGGGATCCTTCAATTAAAACTGTCACAACAATTGCCCGCAGCACAACATGATGCAGACGTCACTCCGAATTTTTTTCAGAAAAAACGACAGGTTTCCCAAGCAACCATGAATATATATTTATATATAAATACGTGTCTGTGTGGCACGGGTTCGAAACCAGGCAACAGCCTCTGACTAAACCGATTCCACTTGTGTCTGTGTGTGGTGGAGTTGGTTCTAAGCCCAGTCACTAATCGATATCTAAAAAAAAAGATCACACATAATTTTTTGCTATGCTGAATTTGTCTCAATTCCACCTCTTGAGATTTTAAAAATGTCACATTGTTGTCCTTCCCCTCCGCACCTCCGGTTAGCACGATTGGCTATTTTTGGCGCAAAAGAAGTTCAACACAAGTGCATACATACATACATACACTCACACAGAGACCCATAGACTCACACAGAGACCCATAGACTCACACAGAGACCCATAGACTCGCACAGAGACCCATAGACTCGCACAGAGACCCATAGAATCACACAGAGATCCATAGACTCGCACAGAGACCCATAGACTCAAACAGAGATCCATAGACTCACAGAGAGTCCCATGGACTCACACAGAGACCCATAGACTCGCACAGAGACGCATAGACTCACACAGAGACCCTTGGACTCACACAGAGACCCATAGACTTACACAGAGACCCATAGACCCACATACAGACCCATAGAATCACATAGAGACCCATAGACTCACACAGAGATCCATAGACTAACACAGAGACCCATAGACTAACACAGAGACCAATAAACTCGCACAGAGACCCATAGAATCACACAGAGACCCGTAGACTAACACAGAGACCCATAGACTAACACAGAGACCCATAGACTCGCACAGAGACCCATAGAATCACATAGAGACCCATAGACTCACACAGAGACCCATAGACTCACCCAGAGACCCGTAGACTAACACAGAGACCCATAGACTAACACAGAGACCCATAGACTCGCACAGAGACCCATAGAATCAGACAGAGACCCATAGACTCACACAGAGACCCATAGACTCACACAGAGACCCGTAGACTCACACAGAGACACGTAGACTCACACAGAGACCCGTAGACTAACACAGAGACCCACAGACTAACACAGAGACCCACAGACTCGCACAGAGACCCATAGAATCACACAGAGACCCATAGACTCACACAGAGACCCATAGACTCGCACAGAGACCCGTAGACTAACAGAGAGA